GCAAAAATAAAATAGCTCCAGGTCATGTGTTTCTGTTTTTGGTAACCTATTTTCATCTAAAAACGATAACAGTTGAAGCAAGTCGAAGTTTAGAGATCAACAGCAGTCCGAAGGATGTAAGGATCTAGGGGGGGTCGTGTGTCTAGATATCCTTAGAGTAGGACACAATAGTGACAAATCAGGAAAATCACCTTAATATAGTTGTTTAGTTTACTAAATCATTGCAATCATAAAATCAATAACCTATTGAAAATTGCGTAACTTCGTACTGTTGGAGGACACATTCGTGTTTCTAACGGAACGACATACATTGGGGAGCATGAGTCCTGATAGCAGGAGCAGTTCCTCATACAAAAGGTGAACTGCTTGTACGTATTAGTATTAAACGTCAACAAACCAAAACATTAAACGAGATTTTTATCTAAAATAAAACATAATTCAGCTTCGTTTTTCTGTTTCTTTACCGCAATATTTTTCTGAATGAGTTTAATGCTCCCGAAAATTATAACGTTTCGCTAAACATATATCAATTATTTTCTACATTAAACCATCCATCAAAAGAATTTCTGTTTTCGTATAATATTTTATCTAACGATAAGCTCAGTATATTGTCATATTGAATATGGGCTATTTCTTAATTGAAATGTCACTAATAAATCACGTGGTAGCAAAATAAATATATTGTTAATGCCGTATAAAGAATTTGAAACAAAGAGTCATTGTAATACACCTTCCAGTTATTAACTAATTTTTTGTGTTTAAGCAAACATGGAAGCAGATGGAAAGGTCATAAAGAAATTGCTTTTGGTTTGCGGGTATTAACACAAACGTGTCAACGTGTTCTTTTTTTTTTATTTCGAAAGTGTAAAACTGTTTCTTTGTTGAAGACGCTAAAATTTACTTCAGTTCTCGGTTTACTTAAATTCACAGGTGCTTTATATTTACCTAGTTTTGTAGTTCAAGCATTAAGGCATTTACACTATCTTTTAGTGATGTTTGCATGTATATTAGAAGCAAGTCCGACTGATTGGTTTTTGATAAATTATCCTAAACTTTAAGCCACTAGAAAGTTGAGAATAATATAACTTACGAAACAATAATTTGCTTTATTTATTCTTTGACATTTGGAGACGCTCTCATATTTTCAAATATAAAACACAATAAAAATATTTTGCAACTAAAAAACTGCTAAGTTCAAAAATAACTACAGCTGACTTAGATTCTTTAATAAGGAGCAGAATATCTTGACCTTGTTAAACTTAATGTTAATATTAATTAACTAGTGTAAGTGTTAGATATATCTGAAAAGCTTTTAAATATGATAATAGTGCTTCCTTTATTTTAAACATCATTATTACACGAACTACTTCCTACATTAACACAAGAAATTATTGTCACCAACTACTTTAAAGTATTCATTTATCGATTTTATATTTGGAGTAAATTTTAACCCCACGCAAAATTATCTGTGTAAAAATACATAAGGATATTAATTTAGGATTAGAATGCTTTCCATGTTAAAGAATTTCTAAATACAATAATAATAGTGTTTCCTCTATTTTAAACGTAAGTAGATGGACTACTTTTTACGTCAACATAAGGAATTGTTATCAACCGTAATAATATCTCAAATATTAATGTGAAAATTCATTTTCCATTTATACCNTTTTATCTAATTTTGATTGAAAAGTTTCTCAACTTCTCGAAGGATAATATGATGGTATAACTGTAAAAATTACAGTAATATTGATGTTAAGATTGATATCAATAACCAGTGGATTCTCACTTTTACTCTAATTTTGATTGAAAAGATTCTCAACTTCTAAAAGGATAATACGAAGGTATATCTGTAAAAATTACAACAATGATGATGTTAAGATTGACATCAATAAGCAGTGGATTCTCACTTTTTATCTAATTTTGATTGAAAAGTTTCTCAACTTCTCGAAGGATAATATGATGGTATAACTGTAAAAATTACAGTAATATTGATGTTAAGATTGATATCAATAACCAGTGGATTCTCACTTTTACTCTAATTTTGATTGAAAAGATTCTCAACTTCTAAAAGGATAATACGAAGGTATATCTGTAAAAATTACAACAATGATGATGTTAAGATTGACATCAATAAGCAGTGGATTCTCACTTTTTATCTAATTTTGATTGAAAAGTTTCTCAACTTCTCGAAGGATAATATGATGGTATAACTGTAAAAATTACAGTAATATTGATGTTAAGATTGATATCAATAACCAGTGGATTCTCACTTTTACTCTAATTTTGATTGAAAAGATTCTCAACTTCTAAAAGGATAATACGAAGGTATATCTGTAAAAATTACAACAATGATGATGTTAAGATTGACATCAATAAGCAGTGGATTCTCACTTTTTATCTAATTTTGATTGAAAAGTTTCTCAACTTCTCGAAGGATAATATGATGGTATAACTGTAAAAATTACAGTAATATTGATGTTAAGATTGATATCAATAACCAGTGGATTCTCACTTTTACTCTAATTTTGATTGAAAAGATTCTCAACTTCTAAAAGGATAATACGAAGGTATATCTGTAAAAATTACAACAATGATGATGTTAAGATTGACATCAATAAGCAGTGGATTCTCACTTTTTATCTAATTTTGATTGAAAAGTTTCTCAACTTCTCGAAGGATAATATGATGGTATAACTGTAAAAATTACAGTAATATTGATGTTAAGATTGATATCAATAACCAGTGGATTCTCACTTTTACTCTAATTTTGATTGAAAAGATTCTCAACTTCTAAAAGGATAATACGAAGGTATATCTGTAAAAATTACAACAATGATGATGTTAAGATTGACATCAATAAGCAGTGGATTCTCACTTTTTATCTAATTTTGATTGAAAAGTTTCTCAACTTCTCGAAGGATAATATGATGGTATAACTGTAAAAATTACAGTAATATTGATGTTAAGATTGATATCAATAACCAGTGGATTCTCACTTTTACTCTAATTTTGATTGAAAAGATTCTCAACTTCTAAAAGGATAATACGAAGGTATATCTGTAAAAATTACAACAATGATGATGTTAAGATTGACATCAATAAGCAGTGGATTCTCACTTTTTATCTAATTTTGATTGAAAAGTTTCTCAACTTCTCGAAGGATAATATGATGGTATAACTGTAAAAATTACAGTAATATTGATGTTAAGATTGATATCAATAACCAGTGGATTCTCACTTTTACTCTAATTTTGATTGAAAAGATTCTCAACTTCTAAAAGGATAATACGAAGGTATATCTGTAAAAATTACAACAATGATGATGTTAAGATTGACATCAATAAGCAGTGGATTCTCACTTTTTATCTAATTTTGATTGAAAAGTTTCTCAACTTCTCGAAGGATAATATGATGGTATAACTGTAAAAATTACAGTAATATTGATGTTAAGATTGATATCAATAACCAGTGGATTCTCACTTTTACTCTAATTTTGATTGAAAAGATTCTCAACTTCTAAAAGGATAATACGAAGGTATATCTGTAAAAATTACAACAATGATGATGTTAAGATTGACATCAATAAGCAGTGGATTCTCACTTTTTATCTAATTTTGATTGAAAAGTTTCTCAACTTCTCGAAGGATAATATGATGGTATAACTGTAAAAATTACAGTAATATTGATGTTAAGATTGATATCAATAACCAGTGGATTCTCACTTTTACTCTAATTTTGATTGAAAAGATTCTCAACTTCTAAAAGGATAATACGAAGGTATATCTGTAAAAATTACAACAATGATGATGTTAAGATTGACATCAATAAGCAGTGGATTCTCACTTTTTATCTAATTTTGATTGAAAAGTTTCTCAACTTCTCGAAGGATAATATGATGGTATAACTGTAAAAATTACAGTAATATTGATGTTAAGATTGATATCAATAACCAGTGGATTCTCACTTTTACTCTAATTTTGATTGAAAAGATTCTCAACTTCTAAAAGGATAATACGAAGGTATATCTGTAAAAATTACAACAATGATGATGTTAAGATTGACATCAATAAGCAGTGGATTCTCACTTTTTATCTAATTTTGATTGAAAAGTTTCTCAACTTCTCGAAGGATAATATGATGGTATAACTGTAAAAATTACAGTAATATTGATGTTAAGATTGATATCAATAACCAGTGGATTCTCACTTTTACTCTAATTTTGATTGAAAAGATTCTCAACTTCTAAAAGGATAATACGAAGGTATATCTGTAAAAATTACAACAATGATGATGTTAAGATTGACATCAATAAGCAGTGGATTCTCACTTTTTATCTAATTTTGATTGAAAAGTTTCTCAACTTCTCGAAGGATAATATGATGGTATAGCTGTAAAAATTGCAGTAACGGTGATGTTAATAATGACATCTTCCATTGATTAAAATGATAAAGCTCCCCTTATCTTCGTCAGGAGCGTACAATTAATTTCGGTTCATATTGTAAAGGTGACCTTAAAATAGATTTCAAAGTAGCCTAACAGTGTCACTTTGGGTTATCTTATAATTCTCTCTCTTGAAATTGAGTAGGTACCCTAAAAGGGGTGTAAATAGAATGGAATCGTACGGAGGTAATCAGTTTTAACCAGTAGATCCTATCTTTGTGATGGCTTGAGCTTACGCAAAATTAACTGTTTTACATGAAATAATTAGTTTGAGCGAAGTGATTTGTTAAGTTGTTAAAATGGCGTCAATGTCCGCCATTTCGTACCAGCAACGGAACGAACAACGTAAAAATCACCAATCCCGTAAAGTTAATGAATACAGGGCATGCCAATAGGCTCACACTTGTAGATCAACGGGTTATGCATGCAAATGAAAATCAAGGTAATAATTATCGCGGAAAATGATCTAGGTACGCCATGACGACGATTTTCATTTGTACACTTAATACCTACATAGGTACTTAAGTGGTACCGGCGTGACGACGGATGCTCGCCTGAACGGCATCACCACTACGAACGAGTGGCGTTCGCGTTCGCCAGCTTGTCTCCGTTTCTCGGTAATTGTGGCCGGTCGCTCGTTCGCGATTACATTTTCTTAAAAGCCAGCATCATTACTTTAATTATCGCGATTAACATGGCTCGGTGGATACTTGAAGTAACCTTGTGAACCATCGCTCTCTGTGTTGTTGGTCGAGCCGGACCGTCTCTATAGCTAGCGACACCAAGTCTGCTCTTACCAGTTGCTTTTGCGTCTTCAACACTACAACGACGAGACGTCGACGACGACGAAGAAGAAGAAGAACAGTGCAATTCGCTGGATGATGACAATTCGCCGCACAACGTAATAATAATAATAATAATAACAACTACGATAATATAGTTCTAGTGTGCTGTGCAAAGTGAGACTTTACTAATAAAAAGTGACGATCGTGTGGGCGTAGTTTCCTTATTTTCGCGGCCGGAATCTTCGCCGTGAACTCACGGATATTCTTCTCCATCTAATCTCTCTATCCGCGGTTTATATTGTTGTTGTCGGTTTTTCCCATGCAAGTGCCGTGCGTGCTATGATCAAAGTGTGCGCTTGTGGCCTGTGTTCGTTACTCCTGTCTTGTCCGCAGGATCTTTTCCAGAACTACTACGGCCATGTAGCTTGTTGGCGCGACCGCTCTTTTTGCCGTCGTCCCATTATCAAGTTACTCCACTGAAAACGCACGCGAAATCGTAAAATACAACCACCGACATCCCTCAACTTGTTATTCGTTTCATAAGGCAAAGGTAATTAACTAACTCTCTACCCCTGATTATAAATACCTGCATACTTCTTCATAATCATCCAATCGTAACTGTGTCTTTAGAATTACAAGTTAATTACAATCATAATTTCAGAATACATTCGCAATCAAATTGATTTGAAATTGAGTCTGACAACTTTTCAAAACACAAAACTGATGCAGGATCGATTACAATCCTCTCCTGTTATGAATATTTTTTTATAAGGACACTCTTGTCTAGGAGGTCCTTTTTCAATTTTTTACTAAAATTAGTATTAAAAAACCTGTTTTAACAAGAAAAAACTGTATTTTTCGTTTACTTCGCATAAACATTTTTTATTCTTTACTTAGAAAATTAACAGTAGAAATAACGGTGTAAAAATGTTAACTACAAGCTAACATAAAAACATCATAAGTTCCCATCCCTATTACAATTTCAAATATACCTATTACATACAAACACTTTACTTTAAACCTATTCTTTGCCTACGGCAAAAAATAAAAGAATAACAAAAACAAATACGAAAACCCATTAAAGTTATTGTTCCCCGTTTATTATCACATAACTGCTGTAAATTCTTTACACGTGGCATTGCGTAGATGCCTTTGTATAGTAATCGTAAATTGCCGGAGGTTAAGAATATAACAAAATTTGTTAAAATAAGATTATTGTGGTTTATTTGCTAATTTGCTATGTGTTCACTTACACAAATATTATTATATACATAGTGTAATACAGCTGCGTTCTCATATCTATTTGTTTATCTAGCTCTAGATATTTATTATTATAACCTCAGTAGATATTCTTCGTTTTCATTAATGATGAGCAAAATTGGTCTTGGACTTGCGAGAATTCAATACCAAGACTGTCTTTAAACGAATAAGATTAAGACTAAAGCCAAGCCAGAATATGTCAAACCAATATCAAATACGCAAGACAACGAAAAACTGTTACGTTCGGTGGATTTATGAAATCGATTGAATAACGAGTCGACTCCATAGTTAATATGTAGTAAATTCGTAGGCATCGATAAAAAAATTGTAGTTAATTAATGTATTACCGGAATGAAACCAAATAAATAAAATATAATAAATAATACAAGTAATCTTTAATTCGTACATCTTCAATAATCATTATAATGATATAAAAAATTTTGCTTAGAATTAAAAAAAAATGTCAGATACTATACTAAAAGTATTTGGACAAGACTAAGACCGAAGACCCACTACTGAGACAGTCTTGGTTTTGGTCTTGGTCTGGATTTTGCTTTGCTCATCATTAATGTTAATGTTCCATGTATAGTATTGCGAGTAATTTGGCTAAATTATATAGTGACACCTTAAAGCACCTCAGAAGACCATTAGATAAATGTAATTCTAACTAAAATTGGCACCTTGCTAAGTATGTTTTAATAAGAATAAAAGTTTTGTAATTAATTTGAGCGGTGTGTAACGAGCATCATAAAAGATGCTGGAATGGAATTATTATTATGATAAATATGGACAAACAACACAGTTGTAATGGATAAATCGTGTATAATTACTCTTGCAAGGTCTTTTAAGCTATTAGCTTAAAACATGTGTAAATAAGAAGTGTCCGCCATACTGTCTGAGCTTGCTTATGTATGAACACACCTCAAAATTCAAGAACGAATTTTTGTGAGAATGTTAATAAGCCTGCTGGAACACGTGCAAATTCTGATTTATGATTTCTTTTTTAATGCAAGGAAATTTTATTTGGATATTAATAGACGAATTGGTAAATAGACTGATAGTAAGCATATTTAACCGTGAACTACGTCCGCAATACAAATAAAAACATGCGAAAGGCTGCCACCCATCGATATCAGTTACTAATTAATTTATTTACTTACTTTTCCGAATATTAAAATAAATTGATTTGATTTAATTGACAATATACTTAATTCTGCTTATGTTTTTTAAAAAATGAATTGTGATTATAGGTGCAAATAAGAAGGACGCATGTTCCTAAACGAAATAAACTCTTTCATCGGTTAAATGAAAAGTTGGAGATTGTTGAGTGTAGAAGAATGCTTATAAAGTTACGAATATTTTTTTGGTATGTAGGCGGAATTATGTACATTAGGTATGGTGTTGTTGCATATTACTGCTTTCACCAGTAACAAACTCACGGAAGCCGTGTGTGCCCATTCCTCGATCATCTTATTACATACATAAAAGCACTTGATGATGAACAACTTGTTGAATATTTTAAAAGTTTTAAAACGACAACAGAAAGGAAAAATTTACGTAATCAAGATTCCCAAATGATCAAGAAAAAATTTTTTAATCGTTCATTTCGTTTTTTTTTTTTTGTTTTTATTTTTCTTCATCATCATAAGGTCGTCAGTCCTACAACCCATATCCTTAACTATTTGCGAACAGTAATCTAATCCCGTTTCTGCCTCTAATATGTCTCTGACTAGACCTTTATGCCTAAGATGGTGTCCTACTAACCTATCTCGCCTATTTATTATTGACTTCCATAGAGTTCTCCGTTCTCCTATTCTTTCTATAACTCTTCATTTCTAACCTTTTCTTTTCCACAGCGCCCATCGTCCATGTTTAGCACCCGTACAGCTCCTTGATCCAAACATACACCTTTAGCAATCTTTTTCGAATTTCTAAATTAAAGTTCGCGAGCATAAAAGTGACTTCTTTTTATTGAAGGTGACTCGACCTTGCGCTATCCTCTGCTTTATATTCCTACTACACCTTTCGTCCTGACTTATCTGACTTCCTAGATACCTAAAATCACCCGCTTCTATATTTATATTCGCTCATTCTTTGCTTTTTCTTCCCTTGCATGCCACTATTGTTGTTTTACTTTTATTTTATTTTGTATCCGTGCTTTAATTTTTCTTCTATCAAAATTATCACTATACGTAAAAATGGAAAAGCGGAACCTTAATCGTGTTGTTTTTCGCCTGTTATCTCAATGACTAATCATCAAAATATACACAATACGCCTCATTGATTCATAACAGTTTTTTTCAATGTGGGAGATAAGACCCCAAAATTGCTCTAGAAGTTGCTAGATGGGAGATAGAAGGCGAGAGCAGACTTGTTCTATACTTCACTAAAACTAACGAGGTTAGTCAAACGTCTTGACGCCTTGCCTCATTCGCGTATAGTCATGGATGTCCTACTCGGATACTCACTTTAAAATTTGTTGGGAAACCACACGTTTTTCCTACATTTGATGTTTGCGTAATCGAACCCATCAAAAGGTGCAGATGGTGGGATTGCCCACTTCTTTGTAACGGTAAAACTGTGTTAGGTTTTCCTCTTACCATCTTTTATGTAATGCTCACTTCAGTATCGCAGATTTCTTTCGTGGGGTTCCTCATGAAGAATCTATGAGAAAATTTCTCTATCAACATGCCTATCATTTGTCACTTGAGTCGGGTAAGAATCCGACATTTAATTACGACAAATAGCCTAATTTTGTTACAAAAAGCTTTTGCTTTTTTATTTTTTGGATTTCTAGATCTAATAAAAATTCTACTAAGAAGAATAAACATACATGTTGTGGTGTTATCCCTTGTTTCTTTAGTTTTTCATTACAAGGAAACATGGTTAAAAATAATAATATATTAAGCACCATGAGTGGCGGGTATGAATGGTCACCTAAGCCACAGGTGAAAAGGAAAAACTCCCTGCAGTCGGTGCCGTTTTTTTCCGAGGACTATGTATACGATTTTTCTTATCATGCCCCTGTCCCGAAAGTACGATATATTTCAGAGACGAGAAAATGGGACATAACCTTCCAGATTAGAAATTGCATTTACTATTTATTAATAAAACACCTAGACATTGTCCCTTTGAAAATTGCGCCACCCGAACCAAAGCCGAGAGTGGAAACCACACATAAGAAGGCAGGGGCGTAGCGCAAGGTGGCAATATCAAGTGTGATCCCCTCGTTGTGATATCAAGCTCGATCCCCTGCCCCTACCCGAAAAAATATAACTGGCATAAATTTTGTATGTTCTTGTACTTACACCAAGAGCACTAGTTTGTAAACTTTTGTAAAATGTGAGAAACATCCAATTTACTATTAACTAGGTATTTACTTTTAATATTTACTTATTACTACTACAATAGCTGAGCCCTCCCGCGGTTATGACTCTGCGGAGGTGGAGCTTACGACACTGGAGGATGGTAGAATTCTTTCCTAATAAGGATTAAATGCGATTCCTTATTCGAGAAGGAATGTGGCGCTTTTGTCTCTGAAACAAGGCAGGAATAACGTATTTACTTTCGGTAGGGATATCGTGAAAGGATATTTACTGTTAAAAAAAAAAAATATTGGGGAAACTTTTCCGCTTTTCATATTTTCGTATTCGAGTAGTATTATTGATCATCATGATCATCATAAGGTCGTCAGTCCTAAGGCTGTTTGGACACGTACCTCCACTCTTTCCTATCCTGAGCTAATCTTCACATTTCCCTAAAACTAGAACAACCCACATCCTTAACTATTTGCGAACAGTAATCTAATCTAGGTCTACCTCTACCCCTCCTAACTCCTGTTTCTGCCTCTAATATGTCTCTGACTAGACCTTCATGCCTGAGAAGGTGTCCTACAAAACCTATCTCGCCTATTTCTTATTGACTTCCATAGTGTCCTCTGTTCTCCTATTCTTTCCAATACCTCTTCATTTCTAAACTTTTCTAACCACGATATCCTCATCATCCGCCTATAACACCACATTTCGAACGCTTCTAACCTTTTCTTTTCCGCCGCGCCCACCGTCCATGTTTCGCAGCCATACAACGCCGTGCTCCAAACATACACCTTTATGTTGTAATAATTAATGAAGCATAATATTTTGTATATTTAATGTTAATCAGCGATATGCAATTGCTATCGAAAAATAAGCTCAGTAAATGCCGTTAAAAACTAAGGTAAGATCAAAAGTATAGAACGATCGTTAAATTTTGTGATCAATATCTATATGCAGCTGCCTAAACGACATTGCT